GGATCAAACACAGTCCTGTGTGGACGTAGTCAGAAGAAGTTGGATAAAAAGCGTTGCCTGATGGTTCACGTCAGTGTAGATTCTGTTGTTAATATCTTGTCTGTGAAACCTAAGAACAAGGTAGAGTCAAAAGCGTACATCTTTCGTGACCCTTCCCATCCCGAATTATGTGGTCATTCTCTGCACTGTAGACGCACTTCACGAGCAAGAAATACCAGGACAGAAGTCGTTGAAAGAAAAGTAGGGAATTGCTTTTCGCTGCAACTCGTGGAGCACTTCCCACCCAACAATTATGCTCGTGTTCTTTCGTTTTCATAAATGAAGGTGTGCTCTAAGAAGCTTAGTTTGACATTTACTACAGGATGTAGGGGCTCAAAAGATGGTTTGAACGCCTCCCCTACTTTACGTTACAGAAGGATCGGAACGCTCTTCTAGCATGGTGCTCGTATTGACTGACCACCTCTCTGCTGCAAAGGGCTATTTAAACTTTATATGTGTAATGCTTTGTCTATGTAGCCTTCCGATGTTTGGCAGCCGCCTTACGATTTGTATTCAACCTTCAACCTTGTGCCTTCTTCCACCCTATGGGAAGCCTCGGAATGCCTCATCAGTCTTGTCTGCTGATTGGATTATAATCTTCTTGTCGTGAAAAGAGAAGTTTCGAATTTCCAGCCGAGGAAATCCGATTTTGGGGTCCAACTGATTATCAGACTCAAAGATACTCAAACTCAGAGCATCAACACCAATAACAAGCAACATACATCTTCAGATTCCGTGCAATTCGTAGGTACTGAAGCATTGCATCATCAGAACAAGCCAGCGCTTGTCGACTTGTTCGTGTAGCGTCTCGAGGCTCCAAATGGGGTAGTAGAAGGCATAAGTGAGGCTGAATACATGTATTCCGAAAACAAGAGCAGGAATGGGGCCTGAGCGTGGCCCGAAGGCCAGCCCACGTTTACAGGGTCCAGACAAGCTCCAAAGTGACCGCCAAACGTCAGATAGTCACATAAACAAAGCATTACAGTTCGTACTATTCTTTTCCGGAAATTAGTCGACTAATTGGCAAAGGTTAGCAACACAAGCATAGGATGCCAACAAGACAGCAGTGTCTGTTGGGCAATAGATTTTCTCGGACACTACGTCACATTTAACAAACGATCAATGAAGAACAAGCCGCAGAGAGAGGCTCTACCTCGGCTGGAGCAGGTCTTCAAAAGCACTATAAACCTAAAAGTCATTAAAAGTGTCAGGTTCGTTTTTCACTACCACCAGTGTAGTATCCCGATACCTCCTGGCCGGTATAAGAAGTCAGTAAGTGCAGCTAAATGCATTTCTTCAGAAGTGTCCACCAAACATCAGGTAGTCACATAAACAAAGCATTGCATAAATAATTGCCGTTCTGAGCTGTATATTTGTCTGAACAAATGAGAGGAGATCACCTTGGTTTTTTCATGATCTGGTTTGTATTGGTTGAACTTCGAGCCAAGCCAAAGACCAATATCGCCGCTATTCCATAAATGCATATAGTTAATCTTCATCAAGCGGGAAGTCTCAAGACGTTACACTACAGCCTATGCTATTTATTCACCGTTAACCTATTGCTTCATAAACATATGCATGTCCAAACAATGACATTAGATTAAAATGTCCCTAGATTTATTTAACTCAATAATGACATCTTCAAGCAATAGTACTTTGGCTATATATAACACCTTCCTTAATTGTTAAACTTTAAGGGTTTGTTTTATGGGATCAATAGATGACCTCAAATAAACAGCAACGATTCATTTGTTTTTCAAATATGTTGGTATACGGCTTTTGCGAAGTAGTTTTAAATGTCAAGGAATACGACGCTTTTAAACAAGAATCGCTAAATACAATTGTCCTTACAATTTATACACTTCATAATTTCTATAATTTTACCGCGAAGTCTACAATATAATCTTTTGTACATTGTGCAGTTGTAGTTTTGGGACATTGAATTATGTTCTGAAATGCTTTTAGGGGATTTTTTGTCTATTATTGTAAGTAATTGGTGCTAAAAATCATAGACTGCCGTCACTTTAGCTTTGGTTAAGCTACCTTATGCCTAAGACTCCTCAAATTTTTTCCCCGTAGTTTCGACATGGATTTATTCAGACTACAACCAAAAACTCCTAAGATGATGGAGAAGCCCTTGAGATCAATTATATTCTTGTCTACATTTTTTGATGACACTTCAAAAGTCACTGCTTGGTTGCATAATTACTCACCATCAACCTTAAATTTTGCCACATATATTGAAAGATTCTATGAGGTAAGCAAACTAGGTTTTATTAACTCTCATCTTTACAAGATGCCAGGGAGATCTACGTTGACGAACGTAACAGTTATCCCAAAATCAGGACGAGTGGCTTCTCAAGAAAGCATTTTGCTAAAATTTGAGTGTCAGGCATCCATACCCTTTGAAGAAAAAGGTTTTTTCGCGCGACAACAGACACCTGACCTAATCACTACTTCCAGCTTTATTAAAGTTGCCTATGGAAGACTAGGTAGAATGAGCATTTTTAAAAGAATTGTCTAAAATCCAAAGTTATTGTTTCCTTGTTTTCATGGCATATGAATGCAAGTTTTTGCCACATAGCTGGGTTACTTTACTGCTTTAACTTTCTTTTAGAAGACAACAATACCTGCCATACAAGGATACTAACGATTCCTTTTTCAGCCACATTTGAAGCACTTTATGTGACACTTCAAGCAGAATCCAGCCTCTTAGATCCAATAAGTCTCCAAAACCTCAATTTTGGCTGCTGCACAATCCGCAACTGCATAAAAAAATACCTCTTTATCAAAAATAACTCTAAGCGTCTACCTGTACAATTTCGATTCTCGAAAATCCCTCACTTCCATTTTGAACCTTTTCGAGGGAGTGTGGGTCCAGATAGCTGCAAAGCCATCTTACTAGCTTTTACTCCAAAGCAATTGGGTAGTTTGTTGCAAATTTCCAGTTGAGACTTTATTTGTTCAGGATTGCTTTCACACCAGACAAAGTTGTCCATCCTTGGAATAAGCTCAAACGTCCTTCAAACAACATTATTGAGGGTGATTGGAAATGGGACGGCATGTGATGGAAATGTTACCTCTGAATCTGTCTCCAAATTGGTGGAAATTAAACAATTTCGCAGTTATAGAAGCAACTACAAGTGGGCTTTCCATCATATCCGAATTCGACGCCTTTAGGTGTACTGGAATAGAACATGAGGAAAACGAAATAATTCGTAAGTAAAGATGAATGAGTATAGTTTCATTTTTCAGATCCGCAGTTACTTGATTTTGGCATGGTGTGCCTGAATACTTCATCTTCCAAAATGTTGAAGGTCGAGAATTATCAAAATAGACGGGCTTTAGTTAAGATACGTTCAGATGATAGTCAAGTGGAAATAAAAGGTGAAACAAGTCGCGAGATTCCACCCCGTGGAAGTCACGACTTTGAGGTGTCTCTGTCACCAAAGTCTCCAGGAGTAATTCATGGGTAAGTGAGAAATTGGAAAGACAGATTTTTTGCCATTTTAGAAGGCAGCTAAATGAGTTTATGCATTTTTATGGATAGTACTCTACACATAGAAATGACGTTTTTGCTGAATCATTTATTAATGGGTGTTGTTGCTTGCTTACTATACGATCCAACTCAAATTCTCAATTAAGATTTGAGAACCTTGAACATTGTGCAGTCTAGTGAATCTGGGGACTTTTCAACCAGAAATAACACAACTAACAACTTCTATCTCGTATGCCTCTGATTAGCAGCACTGAAAATAGATGGGCATCACGCTCAACAGTTTCGTCCCACTAAAACATGCTAATTACAAGTTCTAGAGGATGATAAGGACGTTGCAGTGAGCGAGTGGCTTAAGGCTGATAGTTAATATAGTCACTAAGTTAACGGACTGGTGAATACAAAGCCGAAGTCAACGTAAAATGCGCGACATGTTTATCACAAGTGGCGAAAGTGAACATTAAAATAAGCACAAATGCGTAAATGTAAACGGATATGCAAAAAAGAGACAAATTTATCCTTGAGTTCCTGATTTATCCGGTTTCAGCCTTCTTGACCTCCAAGTTGATGGGGCTCCTTTCAATTGCATCAAGGTGGAAGCCCGGGCGGACGTTCCATACTTGGAGATTTATCCGACCGAAGTCTCACTGAAACCGCAAAGAGGATCTACATGCTTGATGTCAGTGGAAGGCCTAAGGGAATTCTTGTGTCTGAAGAATCAGCTAAATGTGCCTGTGCACTTCAGATGGACCTCAAGCAACCAATTGGGTTGTTTGAAAATTTACCCCGAATTAGGCAGGTTATTTTTTTCAACTTAACAACAAGCACCCCTTTTTTCGCCCCGAAAAGTTTGAATTAGTCGTTTGCTCATAATTACACAGAAAACGCCACAGAATTATCGAGTTACTTCAAAGCTATTATAGTGATACGAACAGCAGGTACAATCTTTCCAAAAGTTCCGCAAACTTACAACTTTAAACAAACAGAACCGGCTATTTTTTGTCAAAGAAGATTGGATTGCTTAAATTCTGCATAGATTTTGCCTTTCCCCTTCTTAAGGTAAATACTTTGTTTCTACTTCAATTGGCTTATCTGTTGCGGCAGTGGCAGAAGATTTGACCAATGGCCTTCCAGATGACGCCACCTGCTAGGCTCGCTAAAAGCTTATTGGTGCAATCACCTTGTCTCCCAGACGCCTTGGATTCACCAATTTCGCCAAGTATTTCGATCAATCTCGTAGTTAAATCAGCAGCCTCAATGAATGTTTAAAGCTTAACTATTTGACATGCTCAGCAGAAAACGTAATGAGTTGCGAAACTTCCTTTTTCGGCTTAATGTCCAAAAACCAGTACTTCAGTTTTGACCTTACTTTTGAAACTGCTGTGGTTAAGCCATCGTAACATTGTTGACTTCAAGGTATTGTCGCTCCCAACGCCTGCCAAAACTGTGAAGTCAACTACCGACATTCCTTCAATAAAGGAAGTGTTGAACCGAAAAGAGTTGCTTTCTACCTGTCAGCCTTTCTCAGAACCCCGATCCACTTGGAAGGAGTGACGACACAGGTGACTGTTCTGCTACGTATTCCGCCTCCAATACTGATTTCTACTTCAAAGAGAATTAAACTGGGTGAGGTGCCCTATGGCTTAGAAATTATGCGTACTTTCGAATTACGGAATGTTGGTAGTGGACCGGCTTTCGTGGAATTCCACACATCCTCCGTAGTTGATGAAGTTAACCTTGAAGCTTCTCCAAGTCAAGTTGAAATCAGAAGTCAGGAAAGCGTTACCTTTAAGGTAATAATGACAACCCGCTAATATCTATAAAGTGCTCAGCTTTCATACTTATTTAGACTGATGTTGAGAGGTTGAAGGACTCTTCAGAGCAATGATAACTTTGTTACTGTAAATCAACTACTCCTTGCCGGGGTAAAGGCATAAATTCTTCACAAAAATGAATTCACTCACATCTATTATAGTAAGAGATGTGTCACTTTGAGATTTACAATTCTCCTAGGCACCGATAGGTACTCCTCTTCCGTCTTGCTTGTGCACTTAACAGTCTAATCAACTGTCGCCATTTCAAATGCTTCAAAAATCAGATTGGCTATCTCTTCACAATTGCAGGTAGCGATGATATTAAAACACGTGCCTTTATCATTACATTAAGAACCGTGGCTCACAGAGCCTCCATTCACAACATACGAAATTGCTGCCACACCGTCTTATGCAGTAGATCTTATTTGTCCCTATGTCCAGTCACTCGCAGTGTTACAGACCTGTGCGTACAGGCAGAACACTGCGATTCACCTCGTTTCGTGCGCCTGTATCAGCCGCGCAGCCACCGCACATCCAAACAAATCAAAGTGGTTTCCTTATAAGAGCATAAAAACTCACCAATGTAGAAGCGCAATCCACTTTTGAAACGCCATACTGTAAATGATGATTACATGGTCGCAATTTTCGTCCGTATTTTTCCAATACATCATTGCAAACCTTTGACCAGTATCTCACTCTTCTCTGTGGCTTGAACTGCAATGCTCCGTAAAATAAAAGGCTGCCCATTCTCCTACTCTGCATTGACTGTATTTCTGAACTTAACGGCAAATTTTTTTCAGAAATGCTATCATATAGGCCTGACCACATGGAGCCGTTCTTTAGTATCTCCTCTTCCTGGTTACTTTGTTCCATTTCTAGATAAATTTTCTTGCCTAGCCATTGAACCTTTTAGAACTCCTTAAAACTCTCCGTTTCTTTCGATTTTCGTGGATAGCTAGGGAAGAGCACAGACAAACCCCACTTATGGTGTCCATCAATTAAATTTCACGATCAGTAGGCCTGTGACTTCATCAGTCGGGCAGCTCTTACGTAGGTTTTCTCAACTTACTCATGTACCTCACCAACAAAGACGTCACCTCTAATTCATTCTCCTACGCTTTGTTTTGATGGACTCGGACACTCAACAGTATCCTGGTACAAAAGTACCGATACAACTCCAGCCACATCAGTTTGCCTGCTTTTTGATTTTGTCTCACATTTCATTATTATACGGCCAGGTACCGAATTAACTCAAATAACCTTATTCTGAGCCTGTGTAGTAGCTCAAAATTTCATCCAATTGCACTTCTAAGGAGTATTTACGAGGGTGAACTATGCATTGTGCGTTTATGCAGGACTTTAGCGGTTGCAGCAATAGCTGCAAGCACCACTTGCAGTGTTTAACTGGTCTTAATTGGTTTTGCCAGATGAGATCATCCTTATAAAAGCCGGTAAATGAAATATTTGGGTTGGAAAAACAGTCGTACAAGGAATAAATTCATTGGCAAAACACGAGCTCGTTGTGCCTTGTAGCGATGGGATTGGGATGCATGACAAATCCGTTAATGCTCACCATATTCTGCTGACTAGTATCACGGGAGCGCGAGAAATAGCCATCTTAAAACTTGACAATCAAGGGAGCAAACAGTTGGTTGGTTTTGAGAAGGAAAGAAATTATTCAGCGATATATAAACCTAAAATAGAGCTAGCAATGGCAAAACCACTATTCATTTTTTAGTTGGCTTTATCTGCCCCTTATAACGGTCACTAAAATCGTTTTACTTACCAAATCAATGTATTGCAATACTAAAGGTGACCTGCCTCAGTCGGAAAACTGGCCTCTTCGAAATTCCCATCTCTATACGTCACGCTAATAAGGAAATGATGAAGATAACCGCACAGGGAATCTGCGTATTCCCCAAAATAGAGGTTCACCCATCCCACTTGAGACTAACTTATGTATGTGGTGGCACTAAAGCCCTGGGAACGCCAACGGGAGAAACCGCAAAAGATTCGTTTGCGGTGAAAAATGTTTCATCGGTTCCCGCTCGCATAGATTTTGCGCTTGATGATTACAGAGACTTTAGCGTTGAAGATGAAAGTCCAGGGCTGCTGAAACCGTTCATGTCGAAAAATTACAAGCTCATCTTCAAACCCGAAAAGGTGGGTGTGTTTTCGTAGACAGTGAGTTCACTAGGTTGCTTATCCAACTACATCTTAAATTGTAATGCCTTTTGTTATAAACAAATGGAAAGATTTTGAGGAATTTAGGTTTTAATCTAACCTTTGGTGGCAATCTTATTTCAAGACAAACAGTGATGAGTTAGATCGCCGAAATAGTAAGAGGTTTTTGAAGTTATTTTGGCACAACGCTTGATAAAGAAATAGGCGTGATGCTGAAGTTCTGCTGCTAAAGCAGGTGTCTTGTCAATTTAGGTTTCAAATGTTGGCTTCATGCTCCCACTTCTTGTCAACGGAGAACGCATCAGACCTGTCACTTGTCGGGTAACAGCAACCAGCATCTGTGCTTTGGCCAATGTATTGCCAAGAGTTATTTACGTCCAATATCCACCCTTTATCTCAAAACTACCGGGGGTCATTCAAAAGGTAAATTCCCCAGAATAACCTGTAGCAAATTAGAAACGATAGAATTCAAGCGTAAGTAATTAAAATTTGTCATCTATCATTATAATTGATACCTTAATTTCGACAGCATCTACAGCTATTCTCCACAGTCCAAGCACCAATGCAAGGCCACATCTAAAAATTGGGTTATTTCGAATATTTGCAGGCATTTCAAATTGAAAGTTGTACAAATCAAGAAGTAAGGTGGCGGATTGACAAGAAAAACATACCCCCCAACATATTAATCAAATGCGATGACGACACCTTATGCGGAACTTTAAGAGCTGATAAATCACCGGTCAACTTTCGTATCACTTTAACACCAGGTAACTTCCATCTGCCTTGACTATACAAATTCTAGACAATTCAGACAATCACACTTTGAAATTTCCAATCAGCTTTGAGGACGAGACTGGTCGATCGCAAATTAGCTTTCTGATAATTCAGCTTGAAAGTGTCGAGGTCAAGATGACATGTTATCCTTCACACGTGATCCTTCCACCAATTCCGTCTTGTACGCCCCTAGAACTCGATCTACACCTGACGATTAATTCTGATGAATGTCGATTCCAAATGGAAAACGTTGGCTTTGTTACGTGGCGCCGGAAATGCTTAAAGGAGTATCCATTTTTGATTACTTTTCCACAAGGAAAAGGTAAATTATATGAATTGCACAATTCTATGAATTGTTTTATGCACTTGGGAAATATGATTTATCATACTTAACTTTTGAGTTTTTGAGTTAACAAGCTTTTGTTTTTCTCACTTATAATGCGGAACTTCATTTTATCTTCCAGCGTTCCAGCTGAATTCTGGCTCACAGGACCTGTTTGTTCAGTTACAAATAAAGTCCTCTCAGTTATTCGCCATTTCCAACCGACCCCAACCACCTTGCCTCTTATTTATCGCTAAGTCTATAGGAGACGACGTCAAACTTTGCCTTTATGCCTGTGTACCGCTTGTATTCGCGACAGATGATAGCTGTTTCAGTCTTATCCACTTTAACTCGCTTACAAACGTGCAAGTTACTTAGTCTACTTATTCGTGTTTCAGTAGAATGCGATGCAAACGTCACATTTGCATGTCTTTAGATCCGGACAACGGTTGATGGCATATCAAGAGGAATTGAGCTCGAACACTAGTCGTGTAGTAGAGCGATGGCTCTGTCGTTATGGTTTTCCTGGAGGTGTGCGTAAACTAAATTTCCCCATCGATTTTCAACGGTAAATAGTTTAATTTAAGGCTGTCAATCCAACTGTGATAAGTGGATATTTAATGACCTCTTTAGTTGTTTATCTCTCCACCACATCCGACTGCAAGAACAACATCAAAAGAACGATCAGGTGATTCACAATCTAGACATCCTGATTGAATGTTTGACTCATATGACGGGCCTCTGGAGTCTGCATGGAGTACCAAGATCCCTGACTCTACCTATCAGTGACACCGCTACTTGTATTGGAGCACTTTACAATCATCACGCAGCTTTGATTTGCTTTGCTGAAAGGTAACTACTCAAGAAGAGTAAATAGACACTATCAGTCTGAAAGAGCAGAGAAAGTGGAAAGACCAATTATGGCACACAGATTCTTCCTTTGTCATGAAGAATCTTCGCTTGGGCCATTTAAGTTTAATCTGACAGTAACCACAGTACACTGAACTAGTTAAGTACTTTTCCACCATAGTGAGATAGGCAGATAGAGGTGATAAGCCCAACACTTTGACATAACTTATTTTTATGCTCTTAATTAGTCAAGGAGGTTTTGTGGGTCACATCGCACCGGAGCACCTGATGACTTATATCGATTATCTCGATTGGATACGCAATGGACGTCCATGCGGGTGTGATGACCTTTTCAATGTGGATATTCCAGACAGGCCAGCACTAGACGGTGTTGCAACTACTCCAACGGTTATACTTAGCAATCCCGATGGAAAAGAGTGTTTACCCTACCCCAGGCCGCCGATTCTTGACAAAGAGGTCTTCGAAAGAGCTTCGCAAATAGCTTGGACGGATCTCTTTCTTCAGCTACTGAAGGTAAATGCTTTCACCCAGTTTCGTATTCTTTCTCCAATAGACCTTGGAGGTTGGTGAAGGAACTGAGGCTAAATTACTAAAGTGGATTAATGAATATGCGACACTTGGATGGACCCATTTATGTGAGGCAAACACTCAGCCTAATATATCTTCGTCAATTTACCTCCCTTGCCCCAAAGTGAGGAATTTTCACAAAGATCTTGCAAATGGTTTGGCATTAGCTGCTGTCATCGCAAGTCAGGCTCCATTTGTGGTGGGTAGCTTTTGAATTTGGTCGAATCCATCTCTATCCCTTTTTTATCATTCCTAGAATGTGGAAGTGCTATCCAAGATTAATTTGGATCCAAAAAGTCCTCAGCTCCAATTTCATAATGCTATTCAAGTAGTCAAAGCGCTGGAGTTCATGCGATTGGATGTTGACCTCACTCCCGATGACATAGTCAATCCAAACGTCATACATATGACACTGGTTCTGACTAGACTCTATCGTCTTCTCCCGGAGTACGAGATCAAGTCCACGATATCTTTCGCAGGTTAAGCAGTGTTTTCTCCTGATATGTGTGATCCTAATATCTAGGCAACTTACGAACACGTGTTCTAAAAGATCTGAAATTGACTAATCCGACTAATCAAACATTGCGATACCAATGCTCTTTCGTTGGCAAGAAAGCCAACTACTTTAGATTCAAGGGGAGGATAAATGACATCCAAGTGACTGAGCTAGAGTTAGAACCAAACCGAACATCCATTTTGACCCTGACTTTCACGTATGTAAAGCGCTCTTCCTTATCTTTCATTTGATTGGTACATTTTAATGCGCGATGTTTCACACCAGCCAATCAGTTTAAAGATGGGTGACTATTAAACTAGTGAGGAATCTAAGTGCTTTTGCTTGTATTAAATAAGTTCTGTTCCTTTCTTATCCGTTTCCAGAGTTTCTTCTCTCCAGCAGTCTGAAGCACATCTTCTTTTGGTGGCACAAAGAGCTTATATTCCACGGGGTGCAACAATGGTGTTTCGACTCATTGGTGAGGCAACTGGGATGAAATCAGAAGTAAGAAGTTTTTTTTAATGCTCAGTCGAGATACTTTTCGAAGTCCGGTGATCTGAAAGGGATAGAAAAATAGTGTGGGATTTTCTAACGCTGTTATACCTATGCCACTCCTGTTTTCCAGCCCTCTTAGGCTAACATCAGGGAATGAGCAGGGAAGTAGTATAGCATTCCCTTAGCCAGTTAGTTTGCTGTACAGGCTTGATGATACATGTTTAACCTTACCTCTTTTGAGGAATTATAACTAACTACAAAAGCTGCAGAAACATCAGGTTCGGAGGGGCGGGTTTTAGTAAAATGTTCCAAACATTACGTCTGCCCCTGATTAAACCACTGGTAAGTGACTTAGAGATAAGTTCATCACTTTTGGGCAGGTTCTAACGCCTGTTTATAAAAATTATAAGCGGAAAACTTTAGAAGATGTCAACCTACACTGCGCCAATCGAAATTCAAATGGGAAACGCATCAATGATTGGCTGAGTTAATAGCAGGTTGAATAGTGGTGCGGAAGACCGCGAGCATGTAAATGAGTGAAAACAAACGACGGTGACAAACAGGTATCAAGCTTTGAGATGGCACAATTTAGTCAGCCATTGGTAAGCATTACACTGTGGCAAGATCGCACACGTCAGGTTGTGTGCCTGATAGACGGCTCAGCCTTACCTCAGAAGAGGACGAAGAATCAAATTCACATCCAGTCAGCTCATGTGCTTGCCTGGACGTCTGCCTCTGCCCGTCGTTTGGTCATCTAGGATGCCTCTCCGGCGTCGAGAGTTTGGCGTACTGGCCGTTTGCATTCAAAGCACTGCTGTAAGCGGATGCGTGTGTTTGCAATATGAATTTGCCCACAATTGCTCTTCGTGACATCGAAGGCACCAGTGGTAACCCACAAACTCTCTGCTCATCCATTGCATGACAGTCTCGCCAGTATTACTAAGTGTGGGTGACGCACTGTGTGCTTCTGCTTTATTTAAAAAACTAAATAAACTGAGGAATTGATCGTGGATGTGGCTCATTTTGTGCTTCCAAATTTGTTTCAGGAAGTATATGACTTCAAGACAACCTGCTACCAGGCCATGGTTGGAGCAATCCCAATAAGGAGTCCTTTTAACGCAACAGGTCATTTCAAACTTCGGCTTATGGAATCACCTCCAACTTGCCTGGACATGCCTCAGGGTTGTCTTCGTGGTTTCACGTGTCGGTTATCAGAGATAGTCTTGCATTCACAGAGGGCGACAAATGTGGAGGTCGCTTTTCATCCCTTCAGTGTTGGCAAATATAAAGGACAACTAGTGTTTTCAAGCGATGATTTAGGGGACTTTACTGTCGAATTGAGGGGCAATTCCGAAGTCCCCATGACGATCTCTCCCGTTAATGAAGGTATGCCTTATATGAGAGGATCTCAACGCCACTATTTCAACCTGTTTTCATACTTAGCATCGATTACCAACGGAAAAATGGTACCAGAATCCTACCTAATTTGAACGTTTTGTTTCTTTCAAAAGGCTGCAATCATCTTTAATTCCAAATTCTTTATATTTCCTAACTGTCGCATCTTATTTATATAAGAAAACTTGACATTGCGCGTCGCGCAAAGGTGACAAACTGTCGGGGTTAAATTATAGGCAGATAAGTTCGTTGGTAGTAAGAGAGACTCAGTAATCACAAGTAGGTCACTGTGGGCAGTCAACAGCACCAATTTATTCAATCAGAGCTCTGCTCTCCTTTTGGCCGCTTTGCAATGTTCTTTAACAGTAAACCGTTTTAAAGTAGTAAGGGAGTATGCTTATTTAATGGTTATTGGGTAGTTGGAAGCAGGAATAATGACATCTGCGCGATCGTTGTCAATGCCATGCTAAAGTCTGACGAATCCTGCAATTCTAAAATCGACACGCTGCATTTCTGGACTAGATGAGGTCTTCAAATTTTGCTGTCCAGTTGGTACGGAGCATCATGTGATTGTGCAGCTTCCGTCAGAGAATTTGGCGAGATATTCAGCTATGCAGTGGGTAGTTGGGTACTGCCTTCCACCATATGAAGTGGAGAGAATTAAAATTTCAGGAAGTTTTTGTGGTGCGGTGTCAAAACTGCTGCGTTTCAAGGACCTCGATCCCTCAGGCGCGGTAAGTAGATAAGTTAAGTGTGATTTATGGTGCGCAAATAATTACCAACCATCTTTATTACTCCTTTCAGAAAATGACTTGTTTTCAAATTAAATGTGATTCCCCAATCGTGAAGTTTCCGCAAAGTCTTGACGTGGATCTTGAACAAATCGAGAGTGAGTGTTGTTGGAGTGCAGTGCGTGACTATTTCACTTCGTAGAAGTCTCCGTTTTTTGTTTATCGAAAACAGGATCTTCTCGATATGTAGACCTTCCCCTTTGCATTTTCTGTCCCAAAACGGGGAACTATCATATCAACGTCGTCCTTAGTGGTGAAGACGATCTTCGTCGTTTTATGATTGAATGCATCGCTTCCGAAGACACCACTATTGATAACTCTGCACTTGTCCTTAATGCTGAGAGAGCTGTGGATGAGGAACGATTTACCGCTGATCCAACTGTATTCGTAACGGAAGATTTTGAAAAACTACAGCGTCTCTCCGACCAGGAGGTAAATTACAGCTTTAAAGAATAAAATTACAACTATAATTCTAAAAGCTTTATTATGTAAAAAGCCTACGGACGCTGATTTGGCTATTTATCTAATTTGATGAATTCATTAAAAGGGGGCAATTAATGGCCTTAACACTTGGCACTTGTTAAGTACCAACGATACAATTGGCTTGTCCATGATCCATCAAGGCATCAAACAATTTGCGCAACCAATCAATGAGTAATTGCAATCGAACTGTTTTGTCATTGGTTGTTTCAATAACATGGTATCAGTTACGTTTTTAGGGTCTTGGAGTCTGCCTCTATGCTGGAAGAGTCGAGATCAAATGCCAAGTTGGTGACTGCACTCACAAAACTAGTCAATTCGGCAAACATGACCTTCTCATTTTTCTGCCTAAAAACAAATTTTCGAGAGCGCAGTCATTCCTGACTGAAAGTGATTTTCCAACAGATATTTTTGCATCCGATACTCGGGTAATCTCAAAACCTAACTATCGAGGGCGTTGCCGCATTACCATACCATTAAAGCGTCGGGCCTACATTTTTGGAAGACTTTTGTTCAAGGAAGACTTGGTGGACAGTAGGTAAGGAATGGGCTTTAACTTTGTGCTTTCTGAAATCTCATCGACTAATTAAGTCACACATTCACCTTTTATTTAATCCCGCTTAAGGGACTTGAGTTTAACCCGTCTACTCCATTAAGTCAGTTCAGCCTCGTCTCAAAGGTTGAGAACATTCATCTCGAACGTTAACTGCATAGTCGGTGTGTTAGGTTAAAACGGAACAAGCCGTCTGAAACATGTTCTGAGGAGTGGCTTCATCTTGTCCATATGTTGCTCTCCAAACACCAATGCCGCCGGAATGAGGAAGATTATCACATAGATTATCGATGTTGTATTTAAACTCAACATTGAAACATCGGGTGTGCCTTGAGACCAGTGGGAAAGTGAAGGGAACGTTGCAGATCTCGCACGTCTTTCAATGACACCAAATGACAGTCCGACTTTGGAGGAGATTAATACTACAGTTTTCCACTTGTCGATTTAAAAACCAATCGTTGCACTACCCTGTACCCCGAAAAGTTTAGTTGCAGTAAAGTATTAAAAGTTGCATCTGTACGCTTGAAATCTTCCACTTGGTGAAAGAAAAGTGATGATTTTGATGAGGACAAGCGCATTTTATCTACTTCACTTGTGTTTCCTGCTTAAAATCTTTCAGGTTTGGTGCATCATGTTGGTACAATTAATCACTTCCATAATAGCAAAAACTGGGGCAAACAAATGTCTGCACTGTTGGAAGCTCGACTTCCATATTTTCAAACATTCCCCATCCGACTACCTGATTTCCGTTAGTATTTAACACAGAATGTAGACAAATGTCAAAAAAATATAACCTTGAGGTAGTTACACCTTGTTGAGCTTTTCTGCAACCAGCTGTCTCCTGTATGTTTGAAAAAGGCTGATAAAAAAATATTGTTGGGACCTTAGACAAGCGAAGGAACTACAAATGCGTCTCCTCTACGAGGTGGACATTTGCATAAAACCAGGTAGGTTTTAAATGACCAAAAAAGATCTGTGGTGAACGACCTTTAAAGTGAGTGGAGAGGGCAGGGTCGTACATCTTTTTTCAGCACCCCCCATCCAACGACTCGAAGTTATTTGTCACTGCCTCGAAGTCAACAAAATTGTTATTCCTCTAAATTTCTCCACTCAATTGCCTGGTGTTGGTCAGCATCTACAAGTGAATTTGGAAGGCTCCAATCTCACAGGTCCAAATTTCACTGAAGACGCTTCAATTTACACTGCTGAATATCGGCCAACTTGCCGAGGAAAAGCGAAAGCCAGGTGAGGAGCTCCATAAGTAAGGAACTATGTATTTCTGTTTTGAAATGAGCTTCACTCCGGCCGAGCTACAGTCTTGCACAACCGATGAGACCAAGGTCTCGGCACAGCCATCCAATTTCCCGTTTATAATTGTGATTAAGAAATCCAGAGCGTTCAGGTAATCAAGTGCCATGAAAGGAGCAAAAAGTGGGCTGCCTTTACCCTCAGCAGCCACCTGATGATGCGCTATTTCTGCTCTGTCATAAGTCAGTTTATAGTGAACGCATTTGGGATTTGAAATGCTCATTCTTTTTTCCTTTTGTTTTAACGTTCTTCATTCAATTTTTTAGCATCATTTTCTACGACTCAAACTTGGGTGAATTTTGGGTTGATCTGACACTGGTGACAGAGTCTCCCTTGCCACAACTTGCTTCTCCTTGGCGGTGCGAATTGGGCAGGTGGGAAAAATTTTTGCCGCCTTTATTTGTCTAGGAAGTATTTAGGCGTAGTGGAAATTGGGAATCCTTCGAGGAAGTCCTACAATCTTGCCATTGAGGTTGCCAATGATGAGGTGTACGTAATTGAGTCCTACTCGCTGCAGGAAGGGGGCGAAGTGATTCCTCTCCATGGGACCAACGTACCTCTTCCGGCTTCAAGTAACCTCTACTTGAACGTCACTTTTCAACCTCAGGAGTATGGACGGTATCTGAATGATGGCGAAATTACACTCAAAAGTGATGAGGTATGTTATGGCTGGGTGGTGAAATAATTCGCAAAATTTAAACGAGTTCATTGCGTAGATAAGAGACAGTGGTCCATCCGAGCATTAGATGTTCCAATGAGTGGTGCACAGACCGTTCGTTAGAAGGAAGCTTTCTTTCTAAGATTGATGTCTGTTAGCCAGCAAACAATCCCAAGGCTATAGCAAATCTCACCGATGCCTTCTCATCCCTCCTATTCAACTCCTATCCGATCTGCATAGTGTTTCGCGGTTCGAGGTATTCCTAAATTAAATATTGTGCACCACAGTCGGAGGAGGGTCTACCATTTTAGACAGAAGCAGCTGCTGCGAAACTCCCTCATCTACATTCAACCAATGGTATTCCTTCACTGATTCCCGTTGCACTCTGTTTGAGCTTTATGACCCTCCAATGTAGCACCCCAATAAACATTTTTGTCTGTTTTTACAAAATAAGTTGTCAAATATGTAATTCTGCCATATTTTGCGGTCTCTACGAGGGTCATTTTTTGTATAAACTAGTTGGGTGAGCTTCGCATTCAATTGCGCGGTGAAGGATGTCTGCCGACACGGGGTAGTGAAGTCGCTGTTACTTCCGAAGTTGGAAAAACTCAGCTCTTCAATGTTCCTTTCGCAAATCCCTTTCCTTACCCCATTGTCATACACTGTGCCCTTGAGGCGGTTGATTCAGTCTTCGACGGGGAAAAAGGAAAGGCGTTCGATGCCTTTGACATCAGAGGCGAGCGGTGAGACATTGACTACTCTGCACGTAGTTCACCGGATTGGTTACTTCGCGAATATCAGCAACGTTTTTCTCTGTTAAAAGGTTTTTTTCCAGAGAATTCATCCACAAACCACTTAAGTAGGGTTAAATTGGGTTTGGATTTTAGCCTGTTAACGCCTAATTTCTTCGATTTTTGAAAATGTTTAACAATAGCCATATGTTGTAAACGTGAGTATCGAATGAGTTTATAAAACTTTCATTAGCCTCCTTAAAAATTTTCATAAATGATGAAACATAAATGGCGAAATGGTATCTTTGGAACTTACTAATTCTCTTGCAGGTGCGCAAGTCTCCTAGGAAAGCAAAAGATGGAATTCCACTTGGCATTTTTGCCATCTTCAATGCACCTCTACAAAGCTCGATTCAAAATCAACGCCAGGAAGGCAAATCCACAAGACGGTGGACGATGGGAATCGGAGGAGGCGGTAGCTTGGGTGAAACTGCTGAGGGTAAAGTGGAAAGGATTCATTTTCAATGGCAACAATTAACATTACTTTTTTGAGGCTTGGGAACGCAGAATCAGCATATTCCAACTGAAGGATTTGTTGAATGCCTGGTCGATTTCCTTGCAGTTAAGTGGCTTATTTAAAAGGCCGGGGGTTAGAGGGTGATTCAACACAACGTAATCCGAGGGATGATAAATACAGAAGGGTTGTGTTGATGTGGATTTGACTCATCGAATTCAGTTGACCTAGTTGACCCCTTTCCAGGGTCCTAAAGGGGCTCATTTACTCTCCCGTTATTCGTAAAAATGGAAGCAAGTTATTATCTAGGGCACCCCAACTCTTCGTGGAAAGTTAGAGCTATCACTCAACGATCTTCGACATGAACTTCTGAATCCTCGTGAACAACCAAAATCGAATCAACCTTCTCTCCTCAAGGAGAAAGCTGGAACTTCAACATCAATCAAACTGCACTTCAATCTAGCTGGCTTTGTTCAAAGTCCAGATGAAGACCTGCTCTTCAACTGGAAGTTTTTAGTTGATTCCTGTCATGGTGATGCTCTCGTGGATGCAGATGCAGTGATAAAGAAAGCCATTATCTTGGATCAAACAAATTGTGGCTTTATAAATCCCTCCGATAATGTTCCTCATCTTGAGCTTGCTGGAGCTTTCAGACCAACCAGATCCTTTAAGTAAGTTATGTTACTTTCCTTATAATTGTTTTTATTTTAAATTACGAAGCTAATTAGAGGTGAGAGTTTATCGGACTCCATTCCATCACTCCCTCCGTTTTTCTGCTTACACGCCTTTAAAAGTCTTTTGCGAGCTGTTACCGAATGTGTCCGGAAGACTTTAATATCGTTTGGAGAGTTATAGGTGGAGCAGAGAAGCAAAGCTTCGTACCCACTCTCATCTCCAACAGAAAGGAAGCGGTCATCCTCCTCCTAGCTCACCTACACTCTGACCCACTACGTCTAGCTGTTTTACAAAAAGTCATCTGTCTTGAACACATTCATATCGTAGCTGCCGACGAGTAGGTACACTCAAGCTCTCAGTATACATTTTATACGCTGTGGATGAAGGCGTTCGCATACGCTGGTCGGACAGCCATCCATTTGGGCCTTAAGTGATGAATGCTACTAGTGGTTGAGGAGCATTACAGTGGGAGAAAGTGCCCATTTCTCACCACATCTTACTCGAAAGTTTCCCTAAACTGAAGCAAGCAATATTCTTTACCTTTTATTGCCAATCATTGTAAAGCACTCAATTTCTAACTTTCTGACTTATTACATTATGTCTTTATTCCTTTCTCGATTTTCTCTAATATAAGTGTGATCATGGATGTTGTAGATACACGATCCTTCGAAAAACCGACCACAAACAACTACAGTCACAAAGAAGAAAGGAAACTCTAAATGACTTGCCAAAAAATAAGGAACAATCGGGCGTCTAAAGACGTCAGCACATGCGTTACTTTACGCTGATCTTATGGTGATCGACTTGTCCAAGCAATTGGCCAAGTAATCCGGTCCCACCTGTCCAAGCATCTGTGTTGTCGTAGTGTCAAGGTCGCGGGGCCCTTCACGAGTTATTTAGCCCTCAGGCGAGGGCATGCCATTCGTGTAAACATTCATCAAAAGGGGGGAAACATGTCGTGACCCTCTTTAGTAGGGGCTAAGCCCAAAAAGCATGAAAGAGTCATCGTAATCCAACAGACAGCAGTAACAACGGCATGGTATCAATGATGCAAATTATGGTCTTGTGAAAAAATACTTTGGAAGGGATGCGTAAAATGACAGGCAAGAGAGTCATTTTAAAAGTGGAGGTTGAAAATTAAAAAATGACTGAATCAAAGTTAAACGCTATTAGACAGTGAAATTTGCCTTTTTCTCATAGGTGTAAAGTATGCCATCGCCAAAAAGTGACAACAGTTAAAGATGGAGGCGTTTTTTTTTACAGAATCGATTCGACTCTTTGTATCAATTCAAAGGCCGGTGGCATGTGGCTCTTTCCGATTCGCCTCGAAGCAACATTAAATGAAAAGGTAGAAAGGAGACTAGTTTTCTCTCCTCAGGGTTTGTGTAAATCCGACAGCAAGATATTACGATTGGATAGTCGTGATGAGTAAGGTCTCATGGCTTTACTAGTAAGGTTTTCGTGACTTCTAGAGCTCCTGCAAAGTTTAAAGCTCTCTTTGCCAAATCTGGTGCCGGTTTATTTTCCATCAACAAGACGTCTGGACTGCTCCCCGCGAAGGGTTCAGGATTCTTCAATTTAGTTGTGAAATGTACTCGAAAAAGCTATGGCAAGAAAACTGATGAACGCCTTATCATTCAGGTAGATACATTTATTGTTAATATTTGTGCCCACTGATTTGTCAATCAGAAGCGGGATATAATGAAATCTTAAATTTAATACCAGTAAACAAACTTCCCAGAATGAAGAGCATCAATGAGTCGCCTTAAATCAAATAACCAAATCCATTTTTTACTAATAGACAAATGATGAAATCCAATTTTGGAGACCTTAGCTGCGCTGGACGCAGATTACAGGATTTGGACACCTACCTAAAATGCAAACACAGCAGGCCCTATTCTTAAATGGCTAAGCGCACATGGTCCGGTTTAGTTCCTTAATCCTATTCCTCCAATTTCTAGCTCTTGGGTGGTGCAGTCCCAAAACGACTTCGTTGATGTTGAAGCTTTTGCCTTCCCTGTTTCCCTTTTCAGACTCCAACTATGGAATGGATTTATGAACTCAATGCGGAGGCAATATCTTAAGCTAGGACCAAGCATTACTAAGTATGGAGATAATTCCTTGTTCTCAAGCTTAAAAATAAAGCTGACAAGTTGAAAAATAGCTTGTGCCTTTTGGTTCCTTGAGGGGAGGGACTAATGGTAGTTGAAAAAACGCACCAAATACGATCGAAAGATGTACGCGGTGAAGTTGCATTAATCACTCCTCAGCTTCTTTGTCATTGGTCAATTAATGACCAATCGCCTTCCAACGGTGTTTAAATGCGCCGCATTGATTTTTGAGTCAAATTGTCATTCTGATTATGTTGTTGTTGTTGCTGCTTGTGGTAGTATTTTTGCAACTTTCTGGCTCCGTAACAAGCGGCATCAGCAATTATGAATGGGGTATCTGTGAAGACTGTATCGGAGGTGGCGTGACTTGTCGCATTTTTATTCGACAACTGCAAAAAAATGCATTATCCAGACTCAACCCCTGTCCCAATGACTCTGGAGAGTATAGCCTCAAAATTGAAGAATTAGATGATGGCTATTATCAGTGTGCTAAAACACCAACCTCCTTTTGCATCTTTAGTGAGTTCAAATTACCAGTTTATCACCAATTACCTTCTTTATGAATCCACCCCATCTATTTTTGCATTTGTTGGTCTGCCCATCACTGCTGATGTAATGCAGTGCTAAATGGAGTATCACATATGGCAGTAGAAGCAATATGCATTGAAACCTGAAAAGACCGTGAGTGACAAGTAGTTTTTGGAAACAATACACCACGTGTTTGCACTAATTCTTCTGATCAGCTCCACTCAAACCTTTTAATTTCGTAGGAAAGGAAATTATCGCCCGAATTTTTCTAAAGAAGCCCTTGTATGCATATGCATTCTTATTTTGCGAATTCCAGGCCTCGAAGGCAAAATTGAGCTGCGTCTTAGCGCACAAAACTTGTCCTCACAGATGGAGGTGTTTGTGTACATATATGTGGGTCATATCAACTCCACTCATCATCGTCAGTTGTGGAGAAAGTGGATAGACGACGGGGTGCTGACCCTAGGTACTGAGAAGATCAATCCCACTATCATAGTGTCTGGTAATGATGGTAGTGGACCTTACAATCAACTTGTCCGCGTTCCGTTTGATCACGCTGGTTCACCTACTGCTGTTACAAACTTGATTAGCAATTTCTACGAAGTATCCAAGAACAGACTGACAATACGCGACGGATTCTGTGGCGAATATCGCGTGTATGGCGTCAGTGCCACGGTTAATCAAACGTTTGATGTCTACATCAAGAGTATGTTAACCAACTTTTAAACTATGTAAAAAGATTTCCGGAAAAGTCAACCTACAAAAGCCCCTACAGATGTCTGTATTGGCTTAGTAATACTGAGCCGAGCAAAGAAATAGCATGAGAGAATTAACCAAATTCGCCAGCTCATCGACTGGGACATTATGCATAAATTTTGTTTTATATTTCAGACTGTAGCTGCAAGTTTCACGAGGAAGAGCATGTGGGGAAGATGGTGAGCATTCAAGACTACTGTGACCTTTTTACCAGAGTCGAATTTACCCTTATGTTCGCTGATGTTAATGGTACAACGCGCTGTTCCGTGGAGAGTCGCCAAGACTTAGTATGCGCGAAGACGAGGTCAAATCGCTTCAAGATAGTGTGTCTCAAAGACGACCTCGGCATTCCTGAGAACAAGAATCGCAGCCTAACAAATGTGGTTTTGCGAATCGACAGTGAAAAATGCCTCCTCCGACATGTCTTTAGGATCCCAGAACTTGGTCTGCACATTTAAAGTTCTTTAAGTCACTATCTGATAGAATACGCAGACATGGAATTGCGACTCACTCCTCATCTAAACTCCTACAACCCACGAGACACGGAGGTGATTATTCAAGCCTGTTTGCGCACATATTGCTCAAATAAGCATCTTCATTGTCAAGTCCGGGATCCTACAACCAATCAGCCAATCATGACATTGAGATCCTCATCTCCCAAAGTGTACCTCAAATTGAACGACCTCGTGTGCTTCCAAAAAGTCCTTTTAGCCTGTAGAATACCAGATCAGAAAAACAAACAGATGGTTTCTGAAATATCCCTTGATCGCCTTATGCAATTTGAATTTCCGAGGGGCATTATTCAAGTAGACTCCACAAACAGGGTAAGTGAAAACATTATCATTTATCTTCTAAACTGCTGCTCCATTATCAAGGAGCTGCAGCCGTTTTGTATGCCGGATGCACTTTTTCGCTGAGGAGCTACAACAAAACTGTCTGAAACAAGTGAATGCATTGTGTGAAGGAATACCTTCATACTAGAGATGGGCGAAATAGTGGATCAGCCTATCAGAAGAAGGTGATGCTCTGGGAGGACAACCTAGAATATTACAAGTAATGAGGACTTATTGAATCTAGAATGGGAGGGTAAAGGATGCGAATCCTGACTCATCGCCACCCTTTCCAATTCCGTTGAGATTTCTCCAATAGTCATGTCACCCTACCACTATATGCTCAGACGCAAAATTTGCATTGAAAAAGGGCTCCGCGAGAAAGAGCAATGACTGAAGCTTGCAGCTCCGTCGATATTGTAGGCCATGTCTCGATCCAGCGTTCTGTGCTGGTCTAGTTGTTGCTCCCAAGATCATCACTGGCAAGTGCACAATCGTCTAATCACCACACAAAGTTGCATTCCATTCATGTGCACTCAGTTCGCCTTCACAAGGAATCTATCAATACCTTACAACTATCACCTCGCATAGGCGACACAGCATCTGCCGCATTTGTAAACAAACAAAGAACAAGTCCTCTTCATTTGCTCTGCCTCCACCAAATAGACATTCAGTGTGTTGGGCCCACAAATGACAAGAAAGCCTTTCACCCGAGTGCAGGATATCAAATGTTTCATACTCGGTAGGAGGCTAACTCTTCAATCTAATGGTTTCATCGACGTTTCCGCAGCTGCCTTTGGAAAGCATTTAGTGAAGTGTCAACTCTATGACTGCAAATGGGAGTTTACGTTGGATAACATTCGACCGGGGCAAAATGGTGCTTATCAGTAATATCACCTCTTGCTAAAGTTGTAATGGATCTGATATGTCCTTTTTTCGTAGATCTCAAGGGACCCACTAAGAAGACGAACTTACGGCCATGGCTTGGATTCAAAGCTATTCGTATTATCATTATAGTGGTACTCTTTCACTCTGTACTGTTTTGGTACTTGAGCATGATTGTTATTTTATTCATACATCATGCAAAAAACGACAGAAGGCTTGCTTCAGCTCAGCAGTGGCGCCGAAATGTCCACCTGAATGACACAATCCCTCCAGAATATCCACCGGTAATCAAAAACTGACATAAGATCATGTTAATAAAAAAGGTAGTAGAACGAGGCTTAAGGCCCAAATTTCCGTATTTATTCCTAAACTACTCGACCAATCAGAATAGTGGATAAAAACAAGTAAACCAATCGACACAGTGCCAGTTGAAGGTAAACTATCCGTAAGAATGCAAAACTGTGTACTTGAGCACAGCCCATAACCCTTATCCAGTTGAGCCATCGCCGTAGTCTACACCTATAATTCACCCGAGTCCCAACCGGTCTATTTCCCTTTCAGAATTTTGTTTCAACGGTGACACTCGGAAACGATTTGATTGCACCTGGAATAAGTTACAAAGTGGAGGAACTGCTCAAGAACTTCCAGGAGGTTTTGCACCTTAGAAAAGAAAACGAGAACCACCACTATCACCGCAAAACCTAAGGTCCTTGTTTGCCTTCATGAATAAAATTTGCGTAAACTTTACCCTGTTGAAACTTTATCCCAGTTGAAGACTCAAAAGGTTTCCTGCTGCGGAATAAGGAGTGAACGTTTGGAGTCATAAGACACGAGAAGGCAATTGATTGAGTAATACAATATTTTATACATAAAAACTAGAAAGTGATAAGCAAACACTATCAATCCATTGGCTGTGCGGTACATTGAAACCGAAGCCAAGTAAGGAAAGGGGATTGGTTAGTGTTGCGACCATTTGATGGTCTTCAAATCCACTCCCTCCTGATACATCTCCCACAGAGGACTGAAATGAGGCGAAAAAAGGAAGGAAAAAGATGCGAAAAAAAAATGGGAGTGGTTTCGGATGAATAAATTGTCATTGTCACCTAAGGCAAATCGAGTAAATACGGGATAAACCTGACGTCTAGGAAAAGGGTGGTCCAGGCTAACAGATGAAAAAAAAGTATGTTGATCCCTGCTCGGAAGTAAGTCAATAAACTCGATTGTTGGAGGAAAAAAATGTGAAACAGACCTGGTTCCACAGAAAACAACAAATTGATGTAAGGAAGACATGGTGACCTTTATGGAGCGCAGGGGGCTAAATGCGTCAAGCCTCGGATTAGAAGCAGTAACCGACTTAAGCGACAAAAAAGATCACACTGACTTGAATAGGAGACAGTAAATCAGGCAGATGTATGCTAACAAAAATTTGAGTTAAAATAACTCAGTAGATAGAGGGATAAAGTCATGATGAGATAGTGGAGGCGGTAAATGCACTTAAATTCGAGTCTACCATTACTCCATTCCTACTTCCAAAAAAAATTTTCCGAAGCGTCCATAAGGTGAACAATTCGTCACTGCTTCAGCTACAAATCAAATAAATTAGTGTTGGGCTCCAATTGTCGCAGTGGCCTGAGCCTTGGACATTGCGGCCACCGAAGTGACCGGAACGTCTAGGTTAACAATCAACGCTTGCGCAAATGGGCTCAAAGAGTGACGGGCACGTATGCTAAACGTACACTTCATCTGTCAAATGAACAAAGTCGTTAGTTGTGCAAAAAATATGCTAAACTCTCTTTAAAGAGGAAATCAATAGCAGTAGGGAAGTTACAGAGGCTTCTTGTTGATGAATATTATATTTTACTTCACTTATTGGGATCTCCTATCAGAACGGACCTTCGCATTCCAGCAACGCAATTACCATGCTCAACTTGTCAATGAGCCCATTTGTACAGATTCCACACCTGCCAGCTACCACTGCTAGTGTTAATTTACATGTATTTTGAGATGAAGAGCTCTCATTCCTCAACAATGGTCTACCTCTTCTGATGATAATTTGCCTTTTACATGGTAATGGTGCCGGGTAACGCATGTCTTACCTACATTTCCATTCGTTGATTTTCCCTAACAGAAGCCTATACAATACTTTAGAGCACATGCTTTAACCACATTTATTAATATCTGTTCTAGTCTAGCCTTAGGTTTTCAAGGCAATCAAAGCGAAGAATCTAACACAAGCCATATGTCTAGCACAAATAAAGCATTCGATTAAAAACCGAAATGGAAAAAAGAAAAATGAACGGACAGACCTCATTTTCCTGAGACGGTTAACGTGGTTAACCACTTCCTGGACGGTGTAATCGACCTCCTCTTCAGTAGTGAAGCGTCCGAGACCAAAACGAATGCTAGAGTGGGCCAGATCCTCATCTGTCCCAATGGCTCGCAAGACGTAGGAGGGTTCCAGGGAAGCCGAAGTGCAAGCACTGAAAGGGGGAATAAACGTTGAATAATGCTTAAAATGTATCGAGCAAGGATCGGAGGATGAAGCAGGTGAACTAACGAGGTTTAGCTGCTGACGGAATTACTATTAGAGCTTTAGCGATCTTACCTTTAGGTTGGTAACAGCCACTTCCAAGTGATACGATATACTCATTCCACTCCACCTTATTAAATTGTGATAAAAGATAAAGCGAGGATAAAAGTGGAGCACAACTCTCAGATACTAACCTAGGAAATTGCTGACGATATTGACTATCGCAAGAAGCGTTACCAAGGGCACCAACTGCATGACCAGCATCAAGTGAGAAAAAACGAAGTATCCCAATACGTATTAAGGGGCCGAGGGCAAATAGCCGCGTGCTGCCTCCACCGTTCACTCGCGCTCTCAACCCTCACATTAGACGACCTTACTTCTGAACTATTCCACACAATCAAACACGTCTACAGGCATAAGCATCTTCCTTATGCAACATCAACCAAAAAACCGTCAAAAATCAATATGCAGGTCTTTGCCCTCTTAGATAGGCATTATATATTTTGCCAGCTGATATATGAAAATCGTTTAAATTGCAGGATTGCCCAAATCTATTTGTTGCCAGTTCTCCAATCTACCTCTACCTACACACAGTAATATGCGAGTAGGTGTTAGGCTAGCATTACATAGTACAAAAGGAAAACACCTCCAATTACCTAATTAAACAAATAAAGAAGGAAGACACTTCAAAACCCGTTTGCAATAACACAATTTACCCTACTCATTTTGCGAGAAAGGGTGTTTCAACCAACCATGAAAATACCAACATGGCCAGGTGATCATATATAGACCTGAGTGGAAAGCTATAGGCGCAGTAGTTTAAAGGAATTACTGATAGGCTCTATGGCCTTACATTCTAAGGTGGCGTCACTTCCGCCCATGTAATTGAGTAAAAAAGGAGGGTGTTGAGAATATGACTTCCCCTTTGTTACACAAAATCAAACTAATCTGTCCACCACCAGCACCAGCCAGCTCAGACACCGAAGTGGGAATCAAATGTGCAACCGCAGATCTGTGATATCGTTGAGATGACACTTTCGATTCGACAGCGGTGGGCTGAAGCATAGAACTCCACAAAACTTCAACAATCTGACCTAAGTTCAATATGTCTGTGCCTATCGAGATTTCAGGGATCTCAAAGCTCTTTCAGAGGTGTCATATACGCACCTCAACAGCAAATAGTGGCTTAAAAAACTTTAATTTTATCACCCCAGACAGTAACAGTAACATTTAACAGCCTTTTCCTAAGCGATCCTTTCCAAAATCAGTCAGTGTTAATTAATGAAGGATCGTAAAAGAGGTTTACGTTTCATCAGTGATTCGTGTGTTTGGATCCAATCAAAACAATACTCTCAGGGTGAAGATACAAAAGAGACGAAAGATGGCTAGTCTACCTTATGTTCCTGATAGACAAAACGTCATTAAATCAACCAAATAGTAAAAAGTGATCAAGTGTAGTTCATAAGCCAAACGCCAACCGTGAAATCACCTTATAGTTTCCTCAATATTGTCTGGAACCGTGTGCTTCCGTCCTTTTTCTTCATTGCACAGATACCTCTATTAACTGTTTGGACGTATTCTGACCATTTTCAACGCGTTGGAATGAAGTGAACAGATAACCATACAAATCCACATCTTGAAAATAGTGAGGAAAAGTAAAGAAGGAGGGATAGTTAATTTAATCTCACCGCTAATGTTTTCTTTTTGGGCAATACAAGAATATTACAGGTAAGATCATTGGTTTGCAGTGAAGTACAGAGTAGAAAGGATGTAGAAGAGAACCCAAAACTTTTCAACTAAACTTTCCAAAAGATACAAAATTATTGAGCTGACTCGCCCTTTTCACTCAGTCACTCTTCAGGACAACAACAAAAGGTGCTAAAGGGGAAAAGTAAAGTGGATAGAAAACTGACCTGCCAGAGGAGAGGGCGACATTTTTGAGTGCCATGAGGAGGCTCTCACCCTCCACAAAGGCAAAGCTAAGGTTGCAGCATCCGTAGTAGCGCCGCTCTGGGTCTCCATTAAGAATAACCGCCTCTAGTTGTGAAGTGATACCTTTGAAAAGGCGATCATACAATTTCCGCGTATGCTCCATGTCGTTCTGCAAAGGCAAGTATGATTCCTTCAGCTCTGAACACTTTCAATGGGGTACGCTACGATTTGTAATTTCACTTCGGTATTCACGCAAGTCTATAAGACGCACCTTGCACCAAAATCTGACAGTGGATAGCGGAAGGATTTAATTGACACCACAACGTCAGAGGTAGAAAGAATAGCAAGCCAACAATACTAAAGACAAGTGAAAACTCGCCCTTCCTCTTGGACCACTGCGACAGAGTTCTTGTAGTGTTCCAGCAAAAGCCTACTTCTCATTTAACCTCCACTTCTGACCGGATGACTAAATAGCAAATTTGTGGCATTATTATTCCCAGCACTCAATGAATCTGAATTTTCCCAAAACTACACTACAAGCTAGAGCCTTTTTGAGAAGGAGAAGAGCATTTTACGTCTCATTGTACTATGATTGCGACCTTAGAAAAGGATTAGCTATATACATTTGGACACCACCAACTTTCTGAAAATTAGTTACTTGTGAAGCAAGCTAAGGACAAAAATGGCATAACCAGGTGGAGAGTAAGGACAGAAAGACGGCAGTAACTTATAGGGAAACGAAGAACTCGCTTTGAGATAAGGTGAAGAATTCTGTGAGTGCGGATTATCTCGTTGTCAGTGTCAAAAGTGATTTGAAATACAACCGGTCCAGCCTTAATAACAAAAGTATTACCTGCATCTCCACTTTGGCAACACGACAGGCAGCACCTAGACCGACAACAAGCGGAGTTGGCAGGGTGCCCGAACGCAGACCACGCTCCTGGCCACCCCCACTTATCATCGGCTCTAACCGAACACGCGGCCGACGCCGCACGTATAGTGCACCTACCCCCATTGGTCCGTAAATTTTGTGCCCACTGATGGACATAAGATCAATCTGAAAAAAAATAATGACTTATAAGAAGTTAAAGATCCAATGCAGAGATGAGTGGAAACTGTCCCCCATACATTCATTTTATTGACATCCATACGAATTTTGCCCACAGCTTGAGCACCATCGGTATGGAAGAAGACCTTTTTGGCGCGACATATACTAGCGATGTCTTCAATAGGCTGAACAACCCCGATCTCGTTATTAACTGCCATTATGCTAACGAGAGAAGTATCAGGGCGGATAGCTCGTTCAACGTCTTCTGGCAAAACGATTCCATTGGATTGAACAGGTAAGTAGGTAATCTGAAAACCTTCATTTTCCATAACGCGACAGGAATCTAGGACGCATTTATGCTCCTGGTAGGAGTTAGAAAGTGATAAAACTACGATTTGGGAGACGATAATATGACGCTTCTTTGACGCGTAGAAGCGGGAGACACCTTTGATGCAGAGGTTATTGGATTCCGTAGCTCCACTAGTAAAAATTATTTCTTTCGGGTCGGCGTTTATCAGGTCTGCGACTTCACTCCTAGCAGTCTCGACAGCTTTTTCCGTCTCCCAGCCATACATATGCGTACGAGAATGTGGGTTACCGAAGGAGCTTAACATGTAGGGTAGCATCTCATCCAAGACGCGAGGATCCTAATATCTGGCATTAAAAATGAAAATAAACTTCACAATAGGTGTAGTGGCTTGAAAATCGAAGTACAAAGGTCTCCTGACATCATTCGATAAAACAGATGAACACCTGGAACCTAGAAATGACTTGCCCAAGGAGGCAAAAAGTGTTACCAATAAGAACTGGGAGATGCAGAAAACCGGATGAGAACACCCGCAGAAGATGAACGCCACTCAACATGATCCCAAGCAGACGCGAGACCCATGGTGTCCGGGGAAGGAAAAGACGATTTAAACAACATATAATTTGTCGAATGATTAAAATATAAAATCCTTAATATTAGGTACTTCTAACAATGCCAAAATTATCTTCGTTCAGCATTTTAGCAGTGCAAAAGTGTAGCTTTTAACAAAGTCCCGCAAAGTATTCTACGATCAAATGACTAAAAACGAACTATATCTTCACAAACTGTAGCTTCCCAAGACTTTCTATCGAGTAGAAGATGGCAGCAAATGGAACAAATACATGTATTCTAAAGAGTGCAGAGCAAATTGGCATAAGCATGGCCCGAAGACCAGCCTACGTGTAGAAGGACCAGATAGGTCCTAATGTAACCGCCACATATCAGACGGTCACATAAACAAAGTAGTGCACTGCCTTCTCTTCTTTCGAGCGGCGCCCTCAGCGCTCCTCTTGGTACATCTACCGTAATAACCATCACAACTTACTTGGTACTGCAAGAAAACACCCAAGAGCCAGCCGCACCAGTCAACATCCACCATGAGACTAAAGAATCGAAATTTCACTCATCGGTAGCTTTAAATGGGCCAGCAGTTCGGATTAATTCGTCGGCCAGATTTGAGGTCGCATACATCCGTTGATCATCAATTGCTTCTAAGTGCAGACGGTGGAACTCTAGTCTAATACAGATGTGTTAAGGAATGTAGAATAAGACAGCCTCGTACCTAAGGAGAACAGTAGTCTCACTTCCGACACCTAGATACGAATTTATCAGGAAATTCCGACACGAAACATTTCTACATGGTTCACGGCGACGCCGCTTTAGTTGTTGTAAATGATGTAGGGATTATAACTCCACAGATGGAAATGCGTCTCATTCACATCGTAGGTACGTAAAAAAAACTATGTATGTCGGAGTAGAATTTCTTAGTGTAGCGTCCCGCGTCTTCACACCGGATAGAAGGCAGTAACTGAAGCTTAAAAAAATGTGTTTCTAGTAGAACAAAGTAATTATACCCGAGCTCGTCCCAAAGACCAGCCGGAAATGAAGTGACCACATAAACAAGGAACTGCACAACTCTGTTATAAATAGAGCACTAACAAAATCTATAAATTCAACTATACTTACCAAATCTTCCCACCAGGAAGAATAAGCCATCATTTGGCTGAAACGCATAGATTTTAGGGGTAGAAGGGATAAAGCCTTGACGTGGCCCAAAGGTCAGCACACGAATGCAAGGGCAAAACGAATACTAAAGCAGCCGTCGGACATGAAGTGTTTACATGAATGTAAAAGTAGTGACTTTTAATTCTAAGAAGTAATTAGTTACATGTCTTTGGCATTCGTTTTGCTCTTCTGTGCATAGACTGGACTCCGGACCATGCCAAGAACCAATCCCTTATTCTCCTCCTAGGAT